ATCTGCCGATTTTACTCGACGTTTGAGTTTTTCCTAAAACAAAAACAGCTAGCCACAGTTTTTACAGACCACGAACATGCAGGGGATTAAACAAGGAGCAATTGCCAGTCATTTCTGCGATACAGTGGACATCTAACTGAGAATTAAAATGCGTGAAAAATACCTGTATATGCAAGTTAATTCAAGTTAGCAGGCGTCACGCATAACACATCATTCACTTCTGCAAGCGATTTCAAGTTAACAGGCACGTCGCATCACGCATCACTTTTACACGCAAACGATTTCAATTAAACAGACATCGTGTATCAAGCGTCAGACAACATTGATACATGAAGGCGAGTTTAAGCCAGCATGCATAACACATCAAAACACTAGCCACATTCAAATAATCGTTCATGACGAGTCCTGTACACTGAAGTCTGGTCGCCAACTTCCTATCAAAATAGATTCACCATTTTTCCTGTCTGGATGGTCCCGTACTTTGAAGGTACCTTTGGGTTCTAAAGGGAAATGGTCCGTACATCCTTGGATTTTAACCTTAGCGTGTTCTGTCAAAAAGATGGTCGTCGAAGAGTTATTTTAATTATCTGTTTCGCTTTGAGCATCTCGCAGGTGTACATCACAAATGAAACGAGTAGGACGCATGGACTTCTCAACATAGCCTATCTACTTCCCATGTTCTTCGCGCAGTTTACGCTTGAATTCGTAAACCATATTTCTTTACGTGCAAACCCCTTAAAACCCATGCATGCATATATGACACCCATCGGACCCCGGGCGATGCTTCGAGACAATATATTTAACTAGATAGTTATTTAGCTTCTTATCGAGTGTGCCCGAGGAGGTAACAGATAGGGGGGGGGGGCCGACATGAGCGCGTGGCCATTTCCCGAGCAGGTTATTACATCGGGCCCCCGTCAAGAGCCCAGGGACCTCCATTCAAATAGAAAGTCCTCAAGACTTAATAAAGAGGGGCCCCGAAAGATAGAGTGTGTCCGAGCGTCTTAACAGATAGGGCTTCTAACAAGAGCGTAGGGCCCTCCATTCAAATAGGAATCAGTCAATACCCAATGCAGATGGCCCCCGAACGATGAAATGCACCTCAACAGCTTATCGGAAGAGGCCCGAAAAGAGCGTTAGGCCCTCCATTCAAATAAGAAGTATCCAAACCCTGTGCAGAGGGCCCCCGAAATATGGAGTGTACCCTAACAGATTACCAGACGGCCCCGGATAGGAGTGCAGCGCCCTAAATTCAAAGGTGGTGAACAGATGGGGCCGCCGACAAGAGTGTAGGGCCGCCCATTCAAATGTGAAATACCCACGGCATGTTGTAGACGGCTCCGAATGATCGAGGGTGCCTGAGATAGGGCCCCGTGAGGACCTCCACTCAAAAAGCAAGTATCCAAGACCCGACGCAGAGGTCACCCAACAATCGGATGCACCGGAGCAGCTTATCAGAAGGGGCCGCAACAAAAGCATAGAGCGGAGGTCCCTCCATTGAAGTAACAAGTGCCCAAAACCCAGTGCGAGGACCCCCAAAAGATGGAGTGTACCCGAGCAGGTTATCAGATGACCCCGATATGAGCGCAGAGCCCTAAATTCAAACGCCAAGACTCAATGCGCAGGGCTCCCGGACAATCCACTTTGGCCAAAGAAGTTAACAGAGGGGACCCCAGACAAGTGCGTAGGGCCTCTATTCAAATAGGGCTTCCCCAAGGCCCAATGTAGAGGGCCCCCGAAAGATCGAGTGTATCTGAACAGGCTATCAGATGGCATTGACAAGAGCGTAGGTCCCTACATTAAAATACCCAATGTGCTGGGCCCCTAAACAATTCAGTGTGCCGGAGCAGCTTAACAGATGGAGCCCCGACAAGTGTCCAGGGCCCCCCATTCAAATGGAAAGCACGCTGGACCCAGTTTCGAGGGCCCCGACCGACAGAGTGTGCATAAACGGGTTAACAGATTAGCCCCCGACAAGAGCATAGCGCCCTAAGCAAGTGACATAAAACTGGAAGCGCCAACGTAAAGTGCCCCCGAGCCACCGAGAATACCCGAGCAAGTTAACATGGGGGTCCCCTGCTATAGCCCACAGAGCCTTTCTGGCGACTGGAAAGAGTCCGTGGAAGGCCTCTGATTGACAACAGCGCCCCGGCACGCTAGCAGGAACAGCACAGCAACAGTGCAGGGCCCTCCGAGTAAACGCAAAGCAGTCAGGGCTAGCGTGGAAGGCTCCTTAACGATCGAAATGACCTTGCAAGTGGGTATATAGGTCCCCGGAAACAGGATAGGACTCTGGACAGCGTGATAAGGCTTATAATTTCCAATAAACAACTTTTTCCATTATTGAAGATGTTTATCTTTTCTCGTAGGCCATTCACTTTCGTTTGCAACTCTTCTCGGTGGCCTGGAAATCCAAATATTTTTTTGTGTTTTGTGTTAAAAAGCTGTACCTTTTTGGTCACCTACGGACCCCTTCGGAGCCTATGGGCCACTTCGGGGTACCACGATGGGTCATGGGCCCCGTGACCACTCTCTCTGGATCCGCCCCTGACTCAATCAGTGGTGAAGGTTGGTGCGGGGGGGAGGGGAGGCCACAGCGGCCACGTGCCAACAATTAGAGGACCAGGCGGAGATAACAATGCCGCCGACTTGTATTGGTGCAGATATGTGGCATGCACTATCATATAAATACCGGTAGAATTGCGTTCTCTATTTCAGATGCACCTTGAGACACATACAGGTAAAACGAAGAACACCTAGCCACCCGAAGCAAGGTGGTTGAAGTCCGGTTATTTTTGTTTCGAGGTAGGCTCTTCTACGCGACGTGGTTCACATCACATCCGGACAACTCGTAGATACCGACTAGGCTTCGGGCCCGGCTAAATACAAGGAGCGTATGTCCAGAGCCGACGATATTGACGGAAAGGCCGAATGCCCGCGCGGGTTCTGATCATGACCGGCACCTGACCGTATAATGAAATTAATAATGGCTGAGCTTTGCGCGGCATGAACATCTCATAACTTTACTTAAATGCCTATGAACTGCTCCAGAAAATCCAACGCAAGCGTGCAAAGTGGGCCTAAACGAAAGTCTGCCGCCGTCCCGGGACCCTCCCGTCACGAAACTGGCAACATCCCGCGGCGCCACGCGTCCTCGCGCATTTGAGTGTCGAGATAACTATTCAAAGCAAAACTATGGCAGCGATGCTCACTGTGGATTGGAGGTGCCAGTTCGCCGGCGACTCAAATTTGCAGGATGTGATTTGCGGGTTGCGTCGGGCCCAGTACTAGTTCTGGCTGTTGATTGGCGGAGAACGCGTGCGATTGGTGGCTTGTGTTTGGCGGAGAGGCGGCCTGGAATTTGCCATCGAAGCGTCTGCGGATGGCGCCAGTGTATAACTAGTAGCTTGTCGTGCCACCTCGTACTAGCTGATTATCATCTAAGCTTGTAAAGCCCATGATTGCATTCGACACAAAATTATACGTTACTGGCTCGCTGGTCATATGCACATTCCGATGACGGTTTGTTCTCTATATGTGGGAATATTTCTGGTTTCTGTTTGCCCCCTCAGCATTATGTCCGGACTCCAGCGACCCGACGTGCACTAATGTCGTGGCACCAGTGACGTCACGCTAGCTATTTTATGAGCCAACACAAGGCCGCTGTTTTCTTCCCTCGGGGGACATGGAGTGAGTTAAGCACAGATGAAGTGAGAATCACCGGACTGTTCTGCTCCGCTTATACCGCCTTCGATCCGGTGTAAATATCTTGAAAGGTGCCTACATTCATTCATAATTTGTTCCCACCCATTGCAGCGCAGGTGTTTCCATAAACACCCTTCTAAGACGTGTCCTAACCAAATTTCGTGGCCCACCTCACCAGCTATCAAAAGCAGGCTATAAACAGCAGTTGATGACACCAATTCTCAAGAATTGGGCCTTTGACATTACACTTCTATACATCCTCTATTCTGAACTAGTCTATACGAAACGGTCGAAATTTGCTGGCAACTTTTTCATGATGATGCGTCTATTGTGCTAAAACATTCAAGTGGCATTTTGGTTTGACTTGCGGGTTAGTCTTGGTATACGTGAGGTTCAGATTTCTCTCCGTGACCTGATGCGCAAACGGTGACGATTGGTGCCCCACAAATCCTTTCCCACTCTGTTCTAGTCCGGTGTATCTTCCGCACGCGCTTTCGGTCAACTCAGACAGGGTTCGGCTTTGCACCATGAGCTCCTCAAGCTCGCTGGCTGTGCGTCCCCGTGACGTGCGTGACGTACACGGTGGCGGTCCAGACAACTCAGACAATGGCGGTGAGGCTGAGTGCTGGGAGAATGGTGTCAGTATCATCGTTTTCTGCCCGGGACGGTCTTGCAGTTATTCTAGAAACGAGCAAAGAAATCGCTCTTCATTCCAATCAGGTTGTCGCGTTGCAAAGGAGTTTCAAAAATCAAGTACTTGAACCCCGTTTTTCGGAAAAATTCGGCATAGGCTTTACCAAACTTAATTTGCCTGGGTAAGAAAATAGTTATAACTGGGTACGAATCCTTTGTCAGGTTAACAATCATGGCGATTTTTCTTATACATAATGAAAATATGAATCATTGCACTTACTATTTCAGATGCTCTGAAACCAGGGGGAGCCGGAAACTGAGCCGCTCTCCCAACATTCTGAAAATTTAGCATCGTCCCCCTTCCGGTGGTGATCGGAAAGAACTAACCAAAATGGCTCTCTTTCCCACCCACCCACGCCCCAACTTAGGAGGACACTGTCTGGGACTGAATCCATATGTTATGAAAATATGAATTTTTCAACACAGCCTCATCAATGAAATTATTGCAATGGAAAACGCTTGACCCCTTCAATCGAGACCACTTGGTCTATCGTTCATAGTTTGTTATTGCAGACCGTAGTCCCTTGTATTGAAATACAACTGGTCAGAAATCATCACGACACAACATTCACGCATTTAAATAGGTCATCCTCAGTGGTTGACTAATATGCCGCGGCCTTGTACGCCGGGGTGGGGGAGCTGTAAGCAGGCTTGTAGACAGGGACAGAAGCCTTGTAGGCCGGGGCGGCAGCCTTGTAGGCAGGGGCGGCAGCCTTGTAGGCAGGGGCAGAAGCCTTGTAGGCAGGGGCGGGATGGTACTCGGGGTACTGGGCCTCTCCCTCGTAGGTGACCTCAGCGTTGTAGCCGCCGTAGTTATCGGCGACGTACTTCACGTGCTGGACACGGCCGTCGGGCAGAGCCACCGAGTAATATCCCTGGGTGTTGTGGCCATCGCTCTTCTCGTTCTTAGCGAAGTTAGTGCCGGTGTAGTGGTCGTTGACGGCGTAGTCGTAAGCGAACGGCTTGGCCTCTTCCTCGTACTGGGGCTCCGAGTGGTAAGAGGCTGGCTTGTATGAGGGGGCCGGAGCGGGCTTGTAGCCCGGCGTCTCCGGTGCCGGGGCGGCGGCGGCCACGGCCAGCACGGCGGCAATGAGGAGGACCTGCAATGCAGGGAGGGCATGATTGGCGGATGAAGGAGCAAGTTCAGCAGAGCTATTTTGCTACGATACATAGGCATAAACATATATGTGTATGTATACACACACACACACACACACACACACACATATATATATATATATATATATATATATATATATATATATATATATATATATATATATATCAACTTCACTATCCGTGCAATGCATGTCATATCGCTAACCCCAGAGTGTACTTGGCTTGAAATAAACTCTAGTAGCCAACAGGACACCGTATCAATGATATCATTCCATTGCATACCTGCATGGTGTGTTCTGGTGGCCGGGTGTGCAGTACAAGTGGTGTCTGCTCCCTTGGTGCTTTCGCTTTTATAGGTCGGCCGCTAACCACTGATGACGGTCACGGTCAGATTCCAGTGGACGGACGCCGCCAACGGTGTCACCGGCTGCGCTGTCGAATCCGCACGGAATTCCTGGTACACGCCCACCTCCTAGAAGTAGACCATGATGTAACCCATGAAGCTGCACATGGACACGCCATTAGATTTGTACGGGTGAGTCGTAAGACAAATGGCCTGGAACATATAGCTTATGACGCAGCAGGTTCGTATCGATCTTTTTTTGGCCTTGCCCTGAACCCAGGATAGTCATGGCAACTATTTGGAAGCGGAGCAACAATCGTGATCAAAACGTCGTGCACAAACGAATGACGCCGCTCTGGATTTAACAACTGGCAATTGTTGATGGCATATGATGGTTGATGGCATGATGGCATATGATGCGTTGATATGAGGTGTGCGACAAAATATCAGAAACGTTGAGTGTATGCTTGAATTTGTGCATTTTGAACAGTCGAATGAAGCATAATATTTTTCATGCGTGCTTATTTGAAAATTGCCACAAACCACACGTTATGCTTACTCATATAGAATAATAGATCCTTGATGAGACTGCATCATATCAAAAATGATCACAAACCAACACAGATATACACTGCGAGGCAGTAATACGCCAAAATTGTTGCTGAAAAAAGCTAGGATAAAAAGATAATGTGGTTTATACGTTAACCCTTTTGGTAAAAGCCAATAGATAAATCAAAAAAGCCGCAATGATATACATGTGACTGAATGATAATCAAGCCAGGTAAGAAGTTAACAGCAACTTGTCAACAACAAGAAAATATCTTAGAAAACTTCACAACAAGCTATACATGATATACACCATCACAGATCACCATGTAAGCTATGGAGAATGACAAAATGATGTGGGCAGACATGCTAGGGCCCAAATTAAAGACTTAGTTGCATTCTTTGCCCCATTTGAGATAGCTTGAACGTACTTGTCTCGCATATTGCTAAAACATGAATAGGAACTAAATGGGCACAACGGTTTCGTATTACATCGAAGTATAAACGTATCAGGCCAGTTAATGACCACAATTAAACAGACAACCACGGCACTGATCAAACCACAGATGCATCATATTGCATCTTGATATTCAATGCTGATGGATACAGCAAAACTATCGAAAACAACACCAATCAATCCCACAATATTTGCTAAAATCTGTTATTTCACACAGGAAACCACATCCATAGCTTTAATTTCAATGCAGAGTCCTACACAATTGCACAACACAAACATGGTGGTTCGGCATTGTAGCATGGCGAGCTTTATCGGGCTGCATCACTATCTACGCGGAGTGGGCTGGGCTGCCGACTGATATTTTGGAGAAAGCTGCGTCTCTAGTCCATGTCTTTTCCAGAGAAGGTGGTATTCCATAGCAATGACATCCCGGCGCCAGAACCTGAACTCAGCTGGGTTCAGTATGACTCCGTTGGTTTTACACAGTCGTGCACGTGTTTGAATGAAGGGGACAAGGCCTGATTGACATTGGGAGTCGTACAGCAGCGTTTCGTCAGCATATTTGTACATCATCTCAGCGCCAGCAGTGACGTCATCACGCTCGGTAGCGGAACTCTGCCTGACCGTATGGTATATGTGAGGTTTAGATTTCTGTCGGTGACCTGGTGGCTAAATGGTGACGACTTGTGCCTCAAAAGTCCTTTCCAACTCTCTTCTACTCCGGTGTATTTTCCGCACGCGTTTTCTGTCAACTCAAACTGGGGTCGGCTTTGCGATATAAGCGACTGGAGCTCATTGGCTGTGCATCCCCGTAACGTGTGTGATGTACGCAGTCGCGGCCCAGACAATCCAGACAATTGCGGTGAGGCTGAGTGCTGGGAGATTTGTGCCAGTCTCACACGTTTCTGTCTGGAACGGTCTTGGAGTTATTCCAGAAATGAGCAGAGGAATTGCTCTTCATTGTTATCCGGCTGTCGGGTGGCAGAAATGCTTTAGAAACTCAGCACTCGATTCCGTTTTCCTGGGAGTGCCGGCATGAGTTTTACACAACTTGTTTTGGAAAGAAAATAGTTATCAGTGGGTGCGAACCGCTTGTCAGTCTAACAATCATAAGATGACTCGCACACTCGACAAGTTGGAACCCGCATGAGCTCGAAGTGCATTGTAAATGCTCATCGCGTAAGGCTGTTACCTCAGCAAAGTTGTCGTTAACTTATACGCTATCGGCTTGCTGATCACATACGCCTGCCACTAAACTTATACGGTAGGGGCACGAAGTAGCTCGTTGTTTCTGCCGCCCTTTTTCGGATAAGACTTGTGTATGAGTATTCACTTCCCGTGACAATGCATAGTTGCTGATTTCCGCCTAGGTTTGTAACCCCATCATTGTATTCGCCACGAACTTATACGTTACTGGCTCGCTGGTCTCATGCACATCCCTTTAACGGCGTGCTCACTATCGGCACGAATATTTCTGGTTTCTGTTTGCCCCTCAGCATTATGTTCGGACTCCAGCGACCCGACGTGCATTTGAGTGTTGACACCAGTGACGTCACGCTGGCTTTTTATCAGCCAATACAGGGCCGCTGTTTTCTTCTGTCGACCGGCCTGGAGTGGATTAAGCGAAGGCGAAGCGAGAATCACTGGACGATTTCATCTCGCTTTGGCTTTGGCTTCGAGTTAGAATTATTGCGTACATTTCAGATATGGCCTGCATCATATCCGTATGCTATCGTTTCAAGCTTAGTTCTGTATGTGGTAAAACAATTCGCATTTTAAATCACGTATGCCAACATGCGTGGCACCGATGCGTTTAAGTACGACAGAGTCGTATCTGTAAAAGTCTGCTGATAGTTTATCACCTTAAAAATATCTTGAAACAACGAATACGCATGCATGCATCTGCCTGGCCGTCCAGTGTCTGTTTCCGCCCATTTATTTCTAAAGAATGCCGTGTGTGTGTGTGTGTGTGTGTGTGTGTGTGGTATTGTGTGTGTGTGTGTGTGTGTGTGTAGCGGGAGGGGGGGGGGGCGGGAAGATATCCTCATGACAAAAACGATCCCAAACATTCAGCCCCATACCTCCATACCATACCTATGCTTCCATATTCTGGTTTCTCCTCGCACTTAATCCACGTTGTCATTACTCTCGGGTGAAATACGGCCTAAACTGTAGCGAACTGAATGCGATATGATGGGGTGAAAACGAGGCAAGGAAAAGACTAGAACTGCTGTCAGTTGGGGATGAGAGGGAAGTATAAATTGCTCCAATAAATGATCCCGAGTCGTTGGCATGATCATCTTGGGTTCAGGGCATGGCCAAAAAAGATCGATACGAACATGCTGTGCCATAAGCTCTCTGTTCCTGGCAATTTATGTTCCGACTCACCTGCACAAATGTAATGGCATGTGCATGTGCAACTTCATAGGTCGCATCATGGTCTACTTCTAGGAGGTGGGCGTATACCAGGCATTCCGTGCGAATTCGACAGCACTGCCGGTGACACCGTTAGGGCCGTCCATTCATTGGAACTCTGACCGTGACCGGCTATCAGTGGTTAGCGGCCAACCTATAAAAGCGAAAGCACCAAGGGAGCGGACACCACTTTTACTGCACGCCCGGCCATCAGAGCACACCATGCAGGTATGAATTGTAAGAATACTATTGATATGGTGCCCTGTTGGCTACTAGGGAGTTCATTTCAAGCCAAAAGCACTGGGTTTAGCGACGTGACATGCATTGCACGGATAATGGGGATAATGGATAATGGATAATGGGTTATATATAGATAAACGTATATATGCATATATATATATATATATATACGTATATATGTATATCTATATATGCATACATATATCTGCATACATATATACCTATATACCCATATATCTTAGCAAAACAGGTCTGTTGAACTGGCTGCTTCATCCGTCAATCATCCTCTCACTGCATTGCAGGGTCTCGTCATTGCCGCCGTGCTGGCTGTGGCCGCCGCCGCCCCGGCACCGGAGACGCCGGGCTACAAGCCCTCTCCGGCCTCCTACCACCCGGCCCCCTCCTACAAGCCGGCCTCTTACCACCCGGAGCCCCAGTACAAGGAGGAGGTCAAGCCGTTCGCTTACGACTACGCCGTCAACGACCACTACACCGGTACCAACTTCGCCAAGAAGGAGGAGAGCGATGGCCATAACACCCAGGGGTATTACTCGGTGGCTTTGCCCGACGGCCGTGTCCAGCACGTGAAGTACGTCGCCGACAACTACGGCGGCTACAACGCTGAGGTCACCTACGAGGGAGAGGCCCAGTACCCCGAATACCACCCCGCCCCTGCCTACAAGGCCGCTGCCCATGCTTACAAGGCTGCCGCCCCTGCCTACAATGCTGCCGCCCCGGCCTACAGGGCTGCCGCCCCGGCCTACAAGGCTTCTGCCCCTGCCTACAAGGCTGTCGTTCCTGCCTACAGGGCTGCTGGTCCTGCCTACAAGGCTGCCGCTCCGGCCTACAAGGCTGCCGGCCCTGCCTACAGGGCTGCCGGGCCTGCTTACAAGGCTGCCGGCCCTGCCTACAAGGCTGCCGCTCCGGCCTACAAGGCTGCCGGCCCGGCCTACAGGGCCTCCGGCCCTGCCTACAAGGCTGCCGCCCCTGCCTACAAGGCTGCCGGCCCTGCCTACAAGGCTGCCGCTCCGGTCTACAAGGCTGCTGCCCCAGTCAACAAGCCCGTCTACAAGCCTGCGGCGTACTGGTAAACCACTGAGGATCACCTATTTAAATGCATGAATGCTGTGCTGTGATGATTTCTGACCTGCCGTATTTCAATACAAGGATCTACGGTCCGAACAAACAACCTATGAAATATGGACCATGTGGTCTTGATTGTAGGTGTCATGTATTTTCCAGTGGGATAGTTTCATTGACGCGGCTGTGTTAAGGAAGTAGCATTTTTATGACATACTGATGCAGTCCCTGGGGATGTCCTCCTAAGTTGGGTCGTGGGTGCGCAGGAGAAAGAGACATTTTAGTCAGTTGTTTCTGGTCATCACCGATTCAGGGACGGCGCTAAATTGTCATATATTTGGGGAGGGGCCCTGTTTCCCGTTCCTTTGGTCTCCGGCCACCTGGTTTGGTGGGTGCGATGATTCATCTTTTCATCATTTGTAAGAAAAAATCGTCGTGACTGTTAGGCTGACCAGCGATTCGCACCCAGTTATAACTATTTTCTTACCGTAGGAACTTGTGTGTGGTGAAGCTTATGCCGAATTCCCCGGTAAACTGATGAGAGGTGCTTGATTTTTTTAAAGTTCCTCTGCCACGCGACAACCTCATTAGAATGAAGAGCCATTCCTTTGCTCGTTTCTGTGATAACTCCATGACCGTTCCAGGCAGAAATTGGTGAGACGGGCACAACTCTTTCAGCACTCAGCCTCACCACAAAAAATTGTCTGGGTTGTCTGGGCCGCGACTCTGCCCGTCACACACGTCACGGCGATGTACAACCAATGCGTTAGCTGGACCAACTCATGGTGCAAAGCCGACTCCAGTTTGAAGTGACAGATAACGCGTGCGGAAAATCCACCGGATTAAAAGAGGGTGGGAAAGGATTTTTGGGGCATCAATCGGCACCGTTTAAGCATCAGGTCACCGACAGAAATATTAACCTCACATGTACGATAAGGTCAGGCCGAGTTGCGAAAAGCGTAATGACGTCACTGCTGGCGCTGAGATCATGTACAAATATGCTGACGAAACGCTGCTGTACGACTAAATATCAAGCAGGCCTTCTCCTTTGCATTCGAAAACCTGCACGCCTGTGTGAAACCAACAGATTCACGCTGACCCCAGCTGAGTTCAGTTTCTGCTGCCGGAAGGTCAAGGTTGTGGAATACCACCTCTCTGGGAAAGATACAGATTATAGACGCAAGTTTCTCCAATTTATCAGCCCATAGCCCAGCCCGCCCTGCCTAGCTGCTGATCCAGCTCGACAAAGCTTGCCATGCTATAATGCCGAACAGCCATTAACCTGCAAGCATTAACAAGCGCCCGGGTGACCGGTTGAATACCACTTGCTCAGGTGGGTGCTGTCAATTTTATTCTCTAAGATCTCAGAAACTAAGGCATCTATTTTTACCACATTCAAAGGCTTTCTTAGACTGTGAGTTAACTTACTTTTGACAAAATCTGAGGTTCCTAGCTCATGACCTTCGGGTCAAATACCGTTACACAAGGCTAAAATCCAGATTAGTGTCCAAAGTGCACTAGAACGTAGATACCTGTTGTAAGCAGAATTTCACTGGTGCTCATTTAAGGTCAGTGGACTTATTTGACCCTTTGCCGGTCATGACAACCAAAGTCACACAAAGCTGCTTTGCGTTTTGTACTTGAGTAAGCGTCAACAATTACGCGAGGTAGTATGTTCCTAAAAATGAAATGTTGACCTGGATCCCTTTATTTCAATGACCTGTCGTACGGGACGAGCCTTATTAGCAGCCGGCAATCGCTATTTTTCAATTTTATTGACGTACTAATCTCTGCTTCTTTTGCTCTGTAAGTCTACGCCCGTGCCACAAATGAAAAATTGGCGCTTTTCCAACATTTAATGTTTTGTTGGGTTGAAGCCTACACTCACGGAGACGGTCCATATTTATTTTGAGCATAGTTCTCAGGAGCATGATACGCTACGGAGATACGCGCTGGGTTTTCTGCTCACGCATCAAGTTTAATGTTAGTTTGGAATGTCAAGTGAGATTCTGGTTAGCTACGGATAGGAAGGTGATGATGATCACTTGTTTGGAAATCCTATCTAGCCTGAATTATGTCTCACTGGTTTATGTACACAAGTTGTATTTTTATTTGTATTTGCATTATATCATTATTGAACATTATCGAACAGCAGCATAACCCATGGAAAAGAGTTGAGAGAATAAGATGGTAAAACTGACAATGACTTTTTTAAGGTGGAGTGTCTGTCTTCTTTAAACGCATGGAATATCAAAGGTTGCAAACTTATGGAAAACAAATGGAGCACACCCTGGACCTGGAGCACACTCTGAAACTGAAGCACACTTGCATACATAAAAGAACCATTTCTCTTATAACATATTAATTGATGGATAGGTATGCCACCAGATTTTTGTAGTGTATACATCACTTCAATTGTCGTGTATGACTCTGCTTTAGAATGAAAGCTATGGACGTGGTTTGCTCTGTGGAACAACAGATTTTAGCAAATATTGTGGGATTGATTGGTGTTGTTTTCGATCGTTTTGCTGCAGCCATCAGTATTTAATATCAAGATGTGATATGGTCATCTGTGGTTTGAGCAGTGCAATGGTTGTCTGTTTATTTGAAGTCCTTTGCTGGCCTGATATCTTTAAACTTTAATATAATACAATTTAAAGTGATACAAAACTATTGTTTTCATTTAGTTTTGATTCATGTTTTGACAATATGGGAGGCAGGTTCGTACAACTTAACTCAAATATAGCAAACAGTGCAACTTAGTATTTACTATGGACCACATTATGTCTCCCCACATCATTTTGTCACTCACCATATCTTTAATAGTGATCTGTGGTGGTGAAGATCATGAATAGTGTGTTGTGAAGTGTTCTAAGATATTTTATTGTTAACAACACATTACTGTTAACTTCTTACCTCGCTTGATTATGTTGAGTCACATGCAAATCATTGTGCCTTCACAAATGTGGTAAACTAATGCACCAGTTTAGCTTTATATCCTAACTCTTTCTTTCTAGCACCAATCTTGGTGTATAACTACCTTGCGGTGTATATCTGTGTTGGTTTGTGATCAGACGTTTTGACCACGATTGTTGCTCGGCTTCACGTTGATGCGGCCGGTTTGATGGCACCGATCGCGCGCCACCGTCGGCATCAGTCGGTCATGCCCGCCACCGCCGGCACCGACCGACCGCGCTCCACCGTCGGCATCAGTCGGTCATGCCCCGCCTCCATCGGCACCGACCGACCGCACACCGCCGCCGTCGGTACCATTCGGTTACACGCCATACATTACTTTTTTCGACTTTTTCTTGGTCACGGAGTATTTTTGGGGTAATGACCTAACCAGCGCTAAGCATGCTTTTTGTGGTTATCTGTTTTCAAGGCGGTATTTCCAGATTGGTCGTTGACCATGCTTATAGACAAATCTAAAACAAAATAGGGAAAGAATAGATACAAATCAGCAGAAATATAACTAGGGATTAAAGGTGAACTGCCGTCAGGTCAGTAACTACTTGTATATTAAGATATGTTAGATAATCTATTTCTTTGTCGCAACACCTTAAATTGATCTTTTACGCCCCTCCTCTACGCAAACATGTCTCTCCTAAATGCGACATGAGGTCAACATTTTAATGCATGGCCTGCATTGTCCTGTTTGGGTTGGTGACCCCACCTACAGGAGTCAAAATGTTCACGCAAGGGGTCAAATGTGCAACTTTCAGGCTAGTCAGAACTTGCCAGCGCTGCATAACATTGCTTTATCGCCAGGCTCCGTAGAAAGATGTGTAGATTTTTATCATGGCGATCGAATATTAATGTTGCCTATGTTGCACGGAGTTGTAGTCAAGGTTCAAAATCTTTCAAAGTCTTTCCTGTAGAGCTGTAATATGGCCAAAGTTCAAGGACAAAGCGGAGCTGGGTGGCTTTAGTGCGTAAGGCTAGAGGACAAAAGAAATGGGAGGGTTAGTCTTTGGTGTTGTCCGCTTGCAAGGACTAGCTACTTTTCAAGTAAAGCAGGAGAAACCGAATTTCTTGAAAACAAATACGTTTTGCGTGCTCCTACATTCACAATTGCATCAACGTACATGGTCCAAGGTGGAGAAAACTCTCTGATCTACCACAGTTTGTGATAAATGTCAAAAATTTGACGGTTTCCCTCATTAGGAAAATGCGTGGTTATAAGCCATATGTTCTTTTCCACTTATCTTCCGACATACTGGTAGAAATTGAACGGCGTGTCCATGTGCAACTCCATGAGCTACATGTTAACCCGCACGGTCATCATCGTCATGAGTCACATTACGCCCACCTCCCACTTTTAGGAGGTGGGCGTGTTCCAGGAATTCCGTGCGAATTCGTCAGCACAGCCGGTCACACCGTTGGAGGCGTCCGTTCACTGGAATCTGACCATGACCGTCTATCAGTGGTTAGCGGCCGACCTATAAAAGCGAAAGCACCGAGGGAGCAGACACCACTTGCGCTCCCAACCCGGCCATCAGAACACACTATGCAGGTATGTGCTGGAATGATGCCATTGATATCGTGCCCTGTTGGCTACTAGACACTTTATATCAAGCCAAGTACACTTTGAGTTTACCAATGAGACATGCATCGCACGGATGACGAGGCTATGATATATATATATATATATATATATATATATATATATATATATATATATATATATTCATCTATCGTAGCCAAACAGCTCTGCTAAACTGGTTGGCTCATCCGTCAATTACCCTCTCACTGCATTGCAGGGCTTCGTCATTGCCGCCATCCTGGCTATCGCCGCCGCCGCCCCGGCACCGGAGACGTCGGGCTACAAGCCCGCTCCGGCTCCCTACCACCCGGCCCCCTCGCAGGAGTCGGCTTCTTACCATACGGAGCCCCAGTACAAGGAGGATGCCAGGCCGTTCGCCTACGACTACGCCGTCAACGACCATTACACTGGCACCAACTTCGCCAAGAAGGAGGAGAGCGATGGCCACAACACCCAGGGATATTACTCGGTAGCTCTGCCCGACGGCCGCGTCCAGCACGTAAAGTATGTCGCTGACAACTACGGCGGCTACAACGCGGATGTCACCTACGAAGGAGAGGCCCAGTACCCCGAGTACCACCCCGCACCTGCCTACAAGGCTGCCGCCCCCGCCTACAGGGCTGCCGTCCCTGCCTACAAGGCTTCTGCCCCTGCTTACAATGCTGCTGCCCCTGCCTACAGGGCTGCCGCCCCTGCCTACAAGGCTTCTGTCCCGGTCTACAAGTCCGTCTACAAGCCTGCTTACAGCTCTCCCACCCCGGCATACAAGCCTGCGGCATACTAGTCAACCACTGAGGATGACTTCCCACTTAAATGCATGAATGTTGTGTTGTGATGATTTCTGACCAGCTGTATTTCAATATAAGAAACTACGATCTGGACTAACAAACTATGAACTATGAACCACGTGGTCTTGACTGAGACGATAATGCGTTTTTCAGTTGGATAATTTCATTGATGCGGCCGTGTCAAGGAATTTGCATTTTCATGGCATATTAATGGGATGCGGCGTGCGTGGGAAATAGGGTCGGTTTAGTTATTTCTTTCCAGTCATCACCGATAGAGGGACGATGGTAAAGTTTCAGAAAGTTGGGAGAGAGGCTCTGTTTCCCCGCTTCTTTTGGTTCCCGAGCACCTGGATCGGTGGGTGCAATAAGTTATCTTTTTTAAGAAAAAAATCGGTATGATTATTAGGCTCACAAGCGATTCATGCCCAGTTATAACTATGTTGTTACCAAAACAAGTTGTGGTTGGCAAAGCTTATGCAGAAACTCCACGGAAAACAGGTATCACGTCCTTGATTTCTCAAAACTCTGTTGCCGCACGACAACCTCAGTACAATAAAGAGCAATTAAACTTTGCTCGTTTCTGGATTAACTTCATGACCGTTCCAGGCAGAGACGTGTGAGACTGGGAAAACTCTCCCAGCACTCAGCCTCAACCGCGGTTGTATGGGTTGCCTGGGCCGCCACTGCGTACGTCACACACGTCACGGGGACGCACAGCCAATGAAGTCGAGTCACTTACAATGCAAAGTCAACCCCAGTTTGTGGTAACAGAAAACTCGCGCGGAAAATACGCCGGGGTAGATGAGAGCGGCAAAGGAGCTTCGGGACGCCAATCGTCACCGCTTAGACATCAGGTCACCGGCAGAAATCTACACCTCACACGTGCCACACTACCAGACAGAGTTGCTGCCGAGCGTCATGACATCAATGCTTGCACGGATATGACGTTATTGCTGGCGCGGAGATGTGTAAATGTGCTGACGGTACGTTGCTGTACGACTCCAAACATAGAGCAGGCCTTTTCCTTTACATCCGAACACCTACACGCCTGTGCAGTTATATTATAGTTGCGACACCAAAGCAGTTATGCTGAACCCAGCTGCGTTCAGGTTGTGCCGTTGGGAGCTCACGGTTGTGAGATGTCACATCCTCCGGGAAGGATGCACACTAGGGACGCAATTTTCTCCAAAATATTAGCCCGCATCCCGGTTCACCCTACCTAGTTAGGGATTCAGCCAGCAAAAACCAGCTATGCCACAATGCTAATCTGCCATTGACGCCTAGCATTAACATAAGTTTCAACATCCAAAGTGTCCCAAGAACGTAGATATTTGTATTATGCAAAATGTCGCTGGTGCTCATGTAGTGTCAGTGAACTTTTTTCACCTATCACAGACCATGACGACTGAAATCACAAAGACTGCTTTAGGTTTTGTTTTTGAATAAGCGTCAAAAATTACGACGGGCAGTATTTTCCCGAATAAACGTTGACGTAGATCATCGGAGGTCAGTGACCTATTTTGACCTTCAAGAAGTTTATAGGAGATGCATAGTGCGGTTGCTGTTGTCAATATATTTGAAATGAGCACCAGAAGTTGGCATGTACATTAAACTCTAGAGTAATAAAGCAGGTTGGTTTTCACCTTCGCCCGACCTTTATACGTGACCCTGGGCCAATGAAATTTTGTCATTCAATTATGGTCTTGCCTAAGACAATATCTTCGAGATATCTGGCTTTGTCTAGCGCCCCGTTGTTGCATCAGATTGAACTATTTCCTAGAAATGGTCTTGGCTGAATTCATGGCCTGACTGAGCTGCCGTGGTTCAGCGACCTTACAAGGTGCATATAAGTTTTTGATATCAAACGATTTCTGGGCAGTTTTCCACAATGAAAATTTGGCGCCACTACACCGCGTCGCTTCGAAACCATTCCGAAAAAACTGCGAGGGTCAAGATGATCCCCACCCAAGCGCGTGTTAAGCTATTGCTAAGTTAAGCACCTACAGATCTGGTAAACGTAAGCATATATTAGATAATGGTACACAGTTAAGTATATTTATGTTTTTATTTCAGCTTAATTTTAAACCTATATATAAACACGCGCTCTGGTAGAAGGTCATTTGGCTCCCTCCCCCGAAGTTGTTTTCTGGAATGGGAAAAATCTGAATGAACCCCCCCCCCAAAAAAATGACGTCATGGGTACTTCGGAAACCCAAAAATATTCTTCCCGAAATACCCTGCATATTGTTGGGGGTGTGTACCTTAGAAACTAGAGGGGTTAAGGTTTTAAGAACAACAACATGCGAACTGCACTGAATGGTCGGCAAGATGGCTTTAAAGCCCAAAATCCCATACAAACATGAAAAGCTCTCTTCATCCATCCCTCGTGTTTTGTCAATGTCACGATGAATTACTGAGCCTACTCATCAAGGGCGCGTGAACAGGAGAGGTGCAAAAGTGTCCGACTCGCGAGCTGTAAAGGTGGTTGACCTAGTCATGTATGGTTGAAAGTTTTCAGAGAAATTTGAAAAGTTGACATTAGTCCTCTGTGGCCATTGACTGGAGACATTCCCCAAAAATTTACTAAGGCCTTGCTATAGCATAGAGGGAGGTCCAATGTCCCTGTGTCAATTTGTTATGAAAATGGTCGGACTTCAAAAAGTCTTACATCCTGATCATGTCATCATAATCATGTAATAATTGCCATCAGCCATGAGAACGTGCACATAGGTTGCCTCAGCCGTGCCACCGGAACGTACGCAATGAAAAAGTCCTGACTTTTTAAGTTAAACCCACATTGTCTGACCACTTCATTTCGTTCTGATACAACAGATTAGGCCACAAGGAAGATCATAACACAACATGCAATCGTTTAAAACAGCATTTCCCTCTCAGCGTCTCAGCCTCATTTCCGTCGGACTAGATTTGCCGCAAGTTTGTTTTAAAAAATGTCGCTCGCAAATGAGCCTAGACTAAGGGGTTGCATGACGGCCTTGTTGCCGCGACGGCGGCAAGTTGCTGTCCCGGCTCCTGGTGCACGCCCCGCGCGTTAAGGGTTAAAATGGCTTTTCGCGCGGCAGACGTTCAACTTTGTGGATTTACCCAAGCTTCGTGTTAAAAAACGAGCATTCCGGCGCCTGTCCGTCTGTGGGCCGGCTGGTGGGTCGTTCGCGGGCGCGGTATCTGCTCGGGCACGGGGGGTCCAGTCTAGTATAAAATATGGCGGCAACGGCGCACATTTCACGACTAGCCATGAGGTTCCCATGTTAGAATGACCTTCTTCAGGCCCACGGCTTTCTAAATCTTGAACATATATATGCATGAAAAGTGCATAGAAATGAAGCTTGAACAATTGTCTTTCGATTTCCAAGATCAAAAGTGTGCGCCGTGGCACTCATTTTCGAGCTATCAGGCAAAGCGCAGACCCATGCACGCGCCACGATGTCTAGGCGTGGGATCAAATCCCGCTGCCGCCAACTCTTTTCAGCAGAGTTGAGATGGAACACGGAGTGAATATACGGCCACTGACTGGCGATAGAACTATTGAGTGCAGCAATATTCTGATTATATGTGAACATACATACACATATGAAGATGTATCTGCTGTGCTGTGAAATGTGCTGAGAGCTATTACAAGGAATACACATGAGATCTTTTGTGTCTATCAAATATACCTGGCAGGCGTTATGCAGCCATCGGGCTACGTGCAACAGCCTATGGCTGGGGCGCATAGCGTTATTGTGCCTGACGCATGGAACCTATCGCGACGGTAGTGGTCCAAACGTGGCCGTCCAACGCGCCCAGAGGTAGCACCAGGCACTGTGTTAGGTTCTTAAGTTGTGATGCTGGCGGCCACTGCTGGCAATGCCGCCTTAGGACCAATGCAGTAACGATAGCATAGTAACATTACAAGCACCGCTGATTGGGAAGCAGTTGTGCTTAAAAGCAGGATGGCAAGCATTATAATGATAAGTGCCATAATGGCGAGCTGTACTGTACAAAGGCCATGATATGACAAAATTCATAAAACTTCTTTGATAGATATTGAAGAGCTTAAACGCCTGACAGACCTATGGCCGAAGTAACCATGCTCCCTAAAACCATTTGCATGAAGGGTTTTTGGCATAAGGTGACTACAAACATTTTACCATTGGCTGCACTGAATAAATGAACCTGAAAAATCTTGCTCTCACGTTACAAAACCTGCAAAATGAATATTTGGAACTTCAATATGACATAATTTTTTTATATTCCTGATGAAGCCTTGTAACTTATGACTTTAACTTTCATCCATTGATCTCAGAGAAGGAAAGGTATACCTAAGCAGCTGAAGTGAAATGGGCCGCTTAGACAAATTTAGAAGGTTCATCAGTATCTGAAACATATGCATCCTTGGCTCAGGGCAATACAAGCTATCAATGGTCCTTGGATAAATAGATGAAATAGATGTAAATAGATGAACTAGTAAATAGATGAACTGAAATCAATAGACCCTGAACTATGCCCCAGTTATGCACATTTTTATACAAATACAGCATGCTGCCCTTTTCTAAACAGTGCATGCAGATAACTCCTTTGGTGAAATGTCATATCAGGCATGTGCACAACATTGCATCATACCAAACATTTCTGTTACATTGTAGTGCCTTTCCTGTCTCAATAAACACACCTAATGCAATCACACAGCTGTGCTGAACTGACATAATTACTGGTTGTCCCATTTCATGGGTGGTAATGCCACTGGACAAAGGTAATCAATGCTTATGTGGAATATTCAAATGTCAATCAGACAACAATC